TAAATACTAATTTACAAATCAATCAACTAATTTAAATCTAAATTATTTTATTAAGAAATAATTTATAATGCTAATGTGTAGCGATTCTACCTTTATGCGTTATAAATTGTCAAAATCTATGTGTACCAACGTTACCTTAGGTTTTATATAATATAAATCTATCAAATAAAATTTTTAATGTTTTTTATTAAATGAGTATCTTCTTTAATCAATTCAAATAAAATTATTTTTTTTTATTTTTTATTTTCTTAAGTCATGTTTCAAATTTTGATAAATTAAATTACTATAATTTATTCATTTTATAAATTTTTATAATATCGATGTGTAATTTACATTGCCTTCGATAGTCTAATAAATTATAAAAAGTTTATGTATAGCTTACGCTATCTTAAATTTCTTTCAGTATTAATCATAATCAAAATTAAAATTCAAATACTCCATTTACGAATAAAATATTTCTTAATGATTTGCAGTATAGTTGTGTGATCTTCCTTCACTTTCTGTATTATTTTCTCGTAGGGTACATGTATAATTGCATTATCTTGTATCCTAAACATTATAATTTTTACGAAAAATGATTTTAATTCTAAAATAAATTTTTCTTTTACTAAACTTAATTATAATCAACTAATTTCATAATTTTTAGATAGAACTACGTGGCTTTGAGTTCCCCATTGCATCCGGAGATACGTAGGAGTGAGAACCGTACCCGTCAAGTCAAAATATTTTTTAAATAACCCGAATAATATTTCAATAAATAATATTTCTTCTTCTAAAATAAAATAATTAATGTTTAGGGGTTAAATAAATATTTTTCAAAATTAGAATAATTTTGTACAATTAATTTTAGGTAACCGTTTTTTAAACGGACGTTGTAGGGTGCTAATACCTTCCCTACACGTAAATGACTCCCGAACTCATTTTTTTGGTTTCAAAGATCGTATTATATTTAAGTTTTTCCAAGGTTTTTTTTTTTAAAAATAAACTTTGGTGGTGACTCCTCTGATATTTTGGAACAAGTTTGTCATCCGTCGTACCGTTGCGATCGCCCGGTTGTGACATATATTGTATAACAATTTTTTGAGTGACAGAATAAAGATAGATTTGTTGTGGTTGAAAACAATCCTTATGTGTGCAACATATTTTAAATGTGATTATTATTTTATAACTATGTGAATCATATATAAAGTCATATTTATATGTGTGAATTTTAAAACAACAAAAAATAAAATACTTTTACAACTACAAATTTAAAATGTGAATCCTGTTATAAAGACGTAGAGTATCCAATGACAATGTAATTTATTTATCACTATGTATTCTAATTTTTAAATTTTTATATTAAAATAAATTAAATTATATATTATTACCTTAATTTATATACATTACAGGTTTTGTCTTGAGCTTGATATTAAAAATTCTACAAATTCAACTATATTTGTTTCATTTGATGAAGTTGTTGAACAATTAGTACAAGTAAAGTTAACAAATCTTATTGTAACATCTAAAATTATAAGTAAATGTGTTAATTTCTAACTTCCTAAACAATCTATCAAATAATTGATTATATAAATAAAATATATTAAAACATATAACTATTTTTATGTGATAATTTTTTTAAAAGTAATGGTGAAGTGTTAAAGTTGTCTCCACAACTTTTAAAGATTATTGACACTTTACATATTGTTCAAATAAAAATGAGTACTTACTTTAAAAGTCGTGGAAGATAAAGTTTCACTGCAAATAAAATTGTGAAGCCGATAGTGAAGGTAATATAGAAAATTATATTAGAGTTTCATTACTTTCATTTATAATGTTTCTAATACAATGATGAATAACTTTATTTTTATATTTACATATTAAGAAGGAAGAATGTTTAGACAATACAAATGCAAAAACAAAAAAATAATAATTTGGCAATAAGATGTTCACCTATATCTCTAACTATGGAAATACCAAATTTACCAAAAGAAAGGGAAAAAATTAATATATAAATTATAAATTTATCATGTATTGTTCAAATTTCTTAGATTAGTAATTTATATTTGATATTTTCTTTTAGGTTGTAACTTAAGGAAGACAAAATAAAAAATTGTGAACAAAAGGTAATAATGGAAGATTTAGAAGATTGAACCATTTTTATTACAATATTGTATAAATACTTTTAATATTATGTAGAGTTTGAAAAGTAAAATGTCACCAAACATTTAAATCTTTTATAATTTTTTTTTATTATTTTATTATATATATCTTCCTTATTTTATTATTATATATTATGTATTGACTTTATTCTTGGACAAGTTTTATATATGATTCATAAATTTTATATTATATCGATATCTCTGTAAATTTAATTAATATAATGATTAATTTTTGTATTAAATACAACAATTTTTTTCTTTTAGTTTCTACCTAAATATTAATTGAAAATTTTTAACTACTCTTATTTTCTCTTCTTCTATTATTTTAATTTTTTTAGAAAATAATTTAATAGAAATTTATATATCAAAATTATGTATAACCTATTAACATAGACAATATTTTATTTATATTTTTTATTATAATAATTATAATGACAAATTTAATTTTTTTAAATTTAAAAATTAACAATATTCATACTTAATGATTTTGTTACATTTTTTTATAAAATAATATAATGATGATGATAAATTTAAAATTATTCAATTAAAATTAATTAATTATAATAATTGAAATAAATTAAAAATTATTAAATATTATAACAATAAAAATGAATATGATTTAATTGTTCTATTTTTATATTTAATAATTTTATATCATAATGAATGAACAAGTAAAGAAAATATAATATTTTAACTCTAAATTAAGTTCAAATGTTGTATTTAATTTCTATATATATTATTTATTTTAAAATTTTATGAGTACGAAGTCTAAATCTTTACAACTATTAAAAAACTTTAAATTCAAGAAAAATAGAAGTTAGTGTTTAAAATGTTATAAAAATATTTTTATATTAACATATCAAATTATATTTATTTATTAGAATTTCATATTCTAACTATATGATTATTTAAAATTTTAAAATTGGAATATAAATTCTAATGCTTTTGAAATTTTTTATGATAACATTCAATTACAAACACAAAGAAGAGTATTTTCTAATGAAAAAATTTAGTCATTTTGTGAATTTATAATTAGTTTTCAAGATATAAATCAAAATACAGATATTATACATAAAAATAAGAAATCAGTACAAATATTTTTTTATTAATATAATTATTTATTATGTTATATTCTTAAAATTATACATTTTTTAATTAAAAAAATTAAATCAGATTCACTCAATATTAACTTCTTTTTCTAAAATTAGATAATGTATGAGAGAGATAGAAAAAAAAAATATCTAAAAACAAAAATTAAATCTCTAATTATTATATTTGTGTCAAAATAGTTAGAACACATTTATTTTTTTAATGACGATATAATATTTTAATATATTTATATTAAAGTTATATTTATATATCTTTAAAATAATTAGAGACTTAATAATAATATACTTGTTTTTACTTATTTTTTATTTAATTTATGTTTCTTTTTATATAACATTTTAAATTTAATTTTTAAATTTGATTTAAATTAATATTTGTTCTTTTAATAAAATTTTTAAAATATTATTTTATTATTAAACTAGTTTATAGATATATTTATATTTTTAATTAAAATGATAAATAATAAACAAACTGTATTAATTATTTTAAAAAATAATTATATAAAAAATTAATAAATTTATTATTTTAATTTTATAATCTAAATAACATAATTTTGTTATACTTAATTAGTTATTAAATAAAATTAATTTATTTATAATATCAATCAATATTAATTTTATTAAGTTATAAAAAATATAAAATAATTTAATCATTTAAAAAAAAACTCAATTCTATATTTTTTTTATCTAAAAATAAACTTCTAAAATTCAATGTATATATTATATATTATTAATTTTTATTTACGATATTTTTGTATGGTAATTTTATTTATATATAAAAAATTTAATATATTTTTATTTTTAAATATTAACATATAATTTTGTACATATTGATATTCAAAACAGATTTTTAAAATTTCATATATTAGTTGAATAAATACTTTATTTTTTATATATTAGTCTAATAAATTATTTTTAAAAAATATGACATTATGTTTTAATAATTATATAGTAAAATTTTATTAATAATTTTAAATTATAATTATAAATAGATAGTTTATCGTATAAATTTAATTCAATAAATATATAAATAAAAAATTATAAGACCTTTTATTTAAATTTTATAATGTATATTAATAAATTTATTATATTTAATAATTTATTGTTATAATTATTTATTTAAAATTTTATAATAATAAATAATTTATGATATTATGAAATAATATAAATATTATTTTTACATTTTTTTGTTTTATACTAAAAAAATACTAAATTATACATATTTTAGATAATTTTAAATAATAATTTATTTTTAAAAATAATATAATTTTTTATTATATTTATATATATATTTTTATTTTAAATTATATATTTTATATTTTAAAATAAATTAATCTAATAAAAAAACGAATATATTTTCTAGTTAAAACATATATTACCATTGAAAGAAATTATTTCATTTGTTGATCAAACGGAAAGAATTGATTTCAATCGTGTATCAAACATACACTTGGAATTGAACTTTTGGAGAAAAATAAAAAGGAGAATATATATTTTTTATTTTTGTATTAAAAAGTCATAGAATATTTATAAAAATATATAAATTAATAGGACATTAAACTTATGACAATTCATTATTTTATTTTAAAAACTATAAATTTAAAAATTTATTAAAAAATATTTTCTTCATTTTCAAAACTGAACTCAAAGGTATATCGAGAAGATATTTATGAAAAATAACGGAAAAAAGAAACGAAATGGAAAAAAAAAAAAAAACAATAATATAACGCGGTTCCAGTTTCCGGAATACAATTCCTCGTCGTTTTAAGGTGAAAAAGAAAGAATCGTTTCCCAGTAGAGAACGCTAAGACGAAGATAGGGCATAGGCAACAGTGCGTTTAGGTTCCCGGAGCGATCGACAAGTATATAGTAGGATCCATTCTGCTAGAAACTTCAACTTGAACCACCATGTGAGCACTCACCATCTGTATCATGGTTACTGCTTCCTTTTTCTTAAATGAAGATGTTAGTCATTGATTGGGTTTTGTGGTTTGCTTTTTGAAAATAAGGAAGACAAAGGCATCGGTGAATCGACCACCGACACCAGATGTAGTCGAAAGGGAACCCACTCTTCAAGAACTCATCAACATCAAGGTCTCATTCTTTTTCTTCTATGCCTCTTTAATTGAATTGCTAAGTTTTACACTTCTGATGTTACGATTGTTGTTTGTGTTCTTTAAGTTGATTGAGACTGGAGAGAAGGAGCGCCTCATGGAGCTCTTGAGGGAAAGACTTGTTGATTGTGGTTGGAAGGATGAAATGAAAGCTCTTTGCAGGTATTTTTGTTTTTTTAATTAAAAGGCAAAACTGAATGATTCACATTTTAAATTAAATATTCATTGCCATTCTATTTATAGATTCAACTTTTCCCATTCTCAGCATTAGCACAAGGCTCACTCCTTTGTTTTCTATGTGGGTACTTGTAATTCAGGGAGCCACCACACAATTATTTTCTCTTATGCAGCTTTGCTTATTCTCTTTATTATAATATGTATAAACAAAGATATATGAATTGTTCATGAATCCTGGGCACTTTAGGCATCTCACATATGCTGTTTGGGTTAATATATCAAATAATTTAAGTCGCTTCTTTTCAATCATAAATGAAAAATTCATTAGCCCTGTAATTGTGTCCTTTTCTGAACAAGTTCAAGTTGTTTTATATTGTACTGGCTCAACAAAGGTGTCCTCTTTAATTGTACAGCCATATAGATATATTATTAAAAGGGATCTCGTTGTATGTAAGTAATATATGCCGGAATTTGGTTGTTGACCGAACCTAATGGCTTTGTATGATTCATATAACCGACCTCACTCGATAGGATGAGACTATTGTTGTTGTGGAGCCATATAAGCTGCAGCGTTAATTTTATTTAAGCTGTGTTGTTTGACAGAAGGGATTAGTGAATTACTTTTGGCTTGGTGCTTGCTTTGTGTATGTTGTTTTAGGCTCACTGGTACAAGCTTTAGTTAGCACTTAATTGTTCATGATTTCATGGTAATATCTGATATTTTCCCACGCTGCACATTCTTTCAACTTTGACGTTTTGTCTCTCCTTGCTGTTCTTTTCTGACTGTTTCCACCTTTTTCATGTTTGTGCTTTAACATGTCTCTTTTTTGTGTGACTACTGAAAGTTGAAATTTATTGTGCTCTTTTACTGCAGAGATGTTGTGAAGAAGAAAGGGAGGAATAATGTTACTGTTGATGAACTTGTACATGTAATCACTCCAAAGGGACGCGGTACTAAATTAATCGTTTCATAAATTGAATTGCTTTTCTTTTCTGCATTTAGAAAAATGGTGGTTACTTGGTTGAAGTATCTTAATGAGCAGAGTATTATGTGTTTGAACATTGGAAGCTGAAAAATTGTATCATGGTGTTGATTTTCTCTTGCACTGAATTTAACTGACAAGATAGAGAACTTGTCAAACTTGTTTTTTGCAGCTTCTGTTCCTGATTCCATAAAGGCAGAGTTGTTGCAGAGGATTCGCACATTTCTTGTGTCTGCAGCTCTTTAATATTTTCGCATGGCTTGATCAGTGTTAATCTCACCTATATTTTGGTAAAGATTATGGGTTGAACTGGTAAGAACTGCACACGTTTGTACTGGGTTTTGTCTGGGAGGGATATGAATGTGCCTTGTAAAACGATGTTCAATATAAATTTAAGAAATTATTTTTTGTATCCAAAATTATTAATATTAACAGCCTCATTCCTTGCACTTATGTTGGGCGGGCGCGTAGGAAAAAAACGCAGTGCAAGTGTGATATGAAACATTAACAGAATTTCTGATGCAAGCATATGGAAAGTAATAATTCATTTATAAGAGTAGTCATGTTTTTGTTTTCAAACCAAGCTATCAGATGGAAACAACTTTTACAAAAAAAAAAAAAACTTTCTATCAACCCAAACACTGATGTGAAATTGAACCATCCTTCTACTACTGTTATTTTCACAATACCAGAGAGGTAGACGGTGCTTCGTAACTACCTTGGTCATACCGAATAAAACAAATCCGTATCCTCTGTAGTCTTTTTTTCCTCCAGTTACTACAGTCATCAATCTCTTATAAATGTAATTAAAGTGAATGAACTATGGAAGATGGGACTGAACAATCCATACACGAATAGTAAAATATAGATATTGGTCCAGAAGCAATGGGTGCCAGGTTACAACACTTTAAATGTTGCTAGTTTTTGGTCATAACATCGCTTCAGTATAAATTTCTTCTCGTTTTCGCTTCAGTATAAATTTCTTCTCGTTTCTTTTAAGTTTTTGGTCAGAACATCACTTCAATATTTCAAGTTCGATGTTGACTTGATTTTTATATTGGGTATTTAAAACAATTTTGGACATTCTTAGAAACTATTTATCAAGAAATGTAAAAAATATTTACTAATTTGGGATAGTTTTGATCTTGTGAAAAACTATTTCATTATTTTATTATGTCTTACACATATTTTCCTTTTGTCATAAGCGACAATATGGTGTAATGCATCCAAGAGTTTAAAACTTGTGAGACAAATTTATCATTCAGAAGTTTAACAAAACAACAAATTGGCTACACGTATCATATGAAGTCACTGGATTTGGTATAAATAAAAACCAATATTCTTAGATTTTTTATTATAAAATCTTTATTTATAATTATTTTTAACATTCTTTTTGGCTTCTACACTTTTTTCATAAGATTAAAATTTATGCAATTAACCTTCTTCATTGGCACTTTTGACGGTATTTTTTTACATGTCCAAACTACTTTAACCAAATTTTTATCATCTTTTCTTTTATGATTTTATCTCAATCTTTTCCTATAGTAAATTATTTCTTATTTTATCTTTTTTCAATGGTCACACACTGATTTTAACATTCTCAATTTTATTACTAGCTTTTTTTTCTTTTGTAACCTCTTTAAAACCTAACATGCACTTCATAGAGGAAGATTGACTATATTGCAATTCAATAATTTTTTTTTCTAACTTTGATAGATACTTGAAAGAACTATAACTGTCACTTAATTATAATTTCTATTTTAATTTCTTTTAGAACAAGTTGGTTATACAGTTAAATATTAGGGAATTAGTTACCTTTTATAACAAACAAGATTAACCAACTAGGTCTATAGATTCTTGTATTGAGCCTTTTTGATTTGAAAAGTGAACATACACAAAAATTCAGTTTTCTTTCTCTTGTCTTCATCTTTCACACTGTTCTTTTACATGATATCATCAGAGTCTCCAAGATCCATCAATGACTTTCAAGTCCACAACATTTATCCTTTGAACGTTTTCTTCTGCGATTTCTACCAAATTGAACAAAGATAATCACCTAACGTGGATGAAACATGTTGAATCCACGATTAAGGATTATCTCTCCATAGAAGATGAAGCCAAAGGAATCATGAACACTGCCTTCGAGAACTTTGACCAACACGACAACCTATTGAAATCTTGAATTCTTGAGTCATTGGATGCACAATTCAAAGTGCAAGTCGTGGGTTGTGAATGGAGTTACCAAATATGACAGATCCTCAAAACCTATTTCGTTGGTCAAACCAAAGCTAGGGTTAAACAACTCAAGCTTGTATTGAGAAACATCAAGAAAGGTAATTCTATCTTTGAATATCTTGTTCAAATTAAACAATTGGTAGAAACTCTTGCTGCAATAGGTTCTCCATTATTTGTTGAGGGGCACATTGATGCAATTTTTGATGGTTTGCAGAGGAATATGACTCCATGATTACCTCATGCATCACAAGGACACACTCTTATACTGTTCAAAGTAAACAATTGGTAGAAACTCTTGCTGCAATAGGTTCTCCATTATTTGTTGAGGGGCACATTGATGCAATTTTTGATGGTTTGCAAAGGAATATGACTCCATGATTACCTCATGCATCACAAGGACACACTCTTATACTGTCTCAGAAATTGAGACAACTATGATGCATCAAGAAGAAAGGCTTCAGAGGCATCATAGCAAAGACACCACATTGGTGCAAGCAAATCTTGTTCAATAGCAGAACAAGGCTAAGAACCAATCTTTCACCTTTTCGAGAGGAAGAGGTCAAGGCTGCAAGCACGGAAGAGGCCATGGCAGAACACATAGATCCAATTTCACTTTGAAAAATGTTGGCAGAGGCTCAAGACCAAAATGTCAATTATGTGGTGAGATTGGACACTTAGTATACTATTGTTGGCATCGATAGGATGAAGAATTACCTAATTCAGAATCTTCTAATGCTGCAACAACTCACATGACTGATCACACAATCCTAAAGCAATGCTAACCTTTTCAAGTAATATCTCTAACTTTGAGGATACTTGGTATCTTGACATTGATGTTACTCATACTCATGACATTAATAATGTCACCAACAGATATGATTACAATGGTAACTCTAAAGTTCAAGTTGGAAATGACAACAAACTTAGCATAACTCCACAAAGGAAATTTTAATTTTATGTCTTTTAAATTTAAAAATTTATTTGATTTGAAAAATTTACTTCATGTTTTAGCAATAACAAAAAATATGATTAGTGTAGTAAAGTTTGCTAGAGATAATGCAGTATTTTTTGAGTTTCACCTTGAAAAATATTTCATGAAATCACAGGAAACCAAGAAGGTCTTGCTTGAGGGAGATGTATCACCTGAAGGACTATATGCTTTTGAAGATCTTTAACTAGTTTCTTGTTCCAATTCAACATCAATTACTGCCCTTACTAGTTTTATAGATTTGAATAATTTTGATCTATGGCATTATAAACTAGGACACTGCATTAAGAGAATTACTAGACATGTACTAAATTAGTGTAATATATCATATTCTATTAATATTACTAGTGTTTGTTCAGCATGTTGTTTAGAGAAATACATAAGCATTTATTTTCTATGCCTGAGACTTGATATACTCAACCATTGTAAATGATATACTCTGATATATGGGGACCAAGTCCCATTCCTTCATATAATGATCATAGGTAATATGTCTTGTTTATATGCCTGCACAAAATTTACATGGCTTTATTTTTTACATAACAAATCTGAAGCATTACAGTCTTTTCTTACTTTCAAAAATATGATAGAGTTACAATTAGACAAGCAAATCAAATGCATATAAATTGATAATGCTAAGGAATATCTACATTTTAAGAATTATCTAGCTGCAAATAGTATAAATCATAGAATGAGTTGTGCTTACACTCACGAGTAGAATGGCTCTGCAGAGAGAAAGCACAAACACATCATTGAGGTTGGTCTGACTTTATTAGTTGAATCATATTTATCATCTGATTATTAGATACATGCTTTCTCTACTGCTATGTTCATAGTCAATAGATTACCTTCTCTTATTCTAAAAATAAAAAGTCCTTTTGAAAATTTATTCAATAGAATACCTGATTATTTTATTTTTAAATGTTTTGGTTGCCTTTTTTATCCTTACATCCGACCTTATAACAAACATAAAATGGATTTTAGGTCAGAACCATGCATTTTCATTAAATTATAAATGCATAAATGTAAATGACAAAACGTATATTATACGGCATATAATTTTTTATAAATCATGTTTTCCTGTTAAGACTAACAACTTCTTTAACGATGATATTCTATAGGAACTATTCTTACAAAATTAACTAGCATTCTTGTTATTCCTACCACAACCGTATGATATACTTTTGTACCTAGTGCACCTAATCTAAACATTATTCATCCAGTTTCTGAATCTCCACCATCCGAGCCTATCCATACACAAACTACCACAACAAATACATACTCCATGATAACACCTGGTAAAGCAGACATTTTCAAACTAAAGGCACTATTGTCTAAAATAAAGCCTTCTATAAAGAATCAAGCCTTGGACAACTCAAAATGGTGCACAACAAAGTAGGAAGAGATTAATGCTCTCATTAGAAACAGAACTTGGCAACTAGTAACCCTTCTAAAGAACAGGAAAGCTATAGGTTGTAAGTGGATTTTTAGAATAAAAAGAAATCCAGTTGACTCTATTTCTAAATACAATGCACGTTTAGTTGCCCAAGATTTTAATCAAAAAGAGAGAATTGACAACAGTGAAACTTTTAGTCTTGTAGTCAAATCTGTCACTATACGTGTTATACTCTCTATTGTTTTAACTAAGGGCTGGTCTATTAGACAAATAGACATTAATAATGCCTTCTTGAATGGACCTCTCAGAGAAAAGGTCTATATGAGACAGCCTCCAAGCTTCAAGAACAAAAATCTTGATCTAGTTTATAAGTTACAAAAGGCCATCTATAGCTTGAAACAAGCTCCAAGAGTTTGGTTTGCAAAATTAGCCTCTACTTTAATCTGTTAGTTTTGTTCCTGCTGTTTCTACTAATTTTTTTTTATCTATATAGATGACATACTAATTACAAACAGCTCACCTAACCTGATACAACACATTATTCAACGATTGAGCCGTATGTTTCCATTGAAAGACATAGGAAAGTTACATTATTTTCTTGGCATACAAGCAAAGGAATAAAGGATGGTAAGCTTCTTCTAAATCAAACTAAATACATAAGTGACTTACTAGAGAAAGTTAATATGCAGAAAAGCAAACCAATCAAGACATTGTTAGCTCCAAATTGCAAGTTCATAGTGGATGGCACAACTATTTTTCATGATTCTAGTCTATACAAAAGTGTTATTGGAGCAATGCAATATGCAACAATAATAAGACCAGATGTCTCCTATGTAGTAAACAAATTATGTCAATACATGCACAGGCCTTTAGAAGAACAATGAAAGGCTGCAATAAGGGTACTTAGATACTTGAATGATACAAAAAATCATGGGCTTCTCTTCTAAAAATAAGAAAACTTGCACATCACTAATTACTCAGATCCA